CCTCTGCTGCGTGTACCAGGCGCTTGTCATCCAGGCAGCGCGTGGTGAGAGTTGCGAGGAGGGAGGGCAGCAGTTCTGCTCGGGGTGCAGCGGCAGGCCGGGCAGGGCAGGGCAGGGCAGGGCCTGGAAGGTTCGAACGGTCTCAGAAGGCAGCAGCGTCGAGAGTGGGGAGATGAGGAGAGGAAGGGAAAGGCAGTTAACTGTAGTGAGGAAAGTTGAAAATCGCCGCCCGGCGGGACGGTAAAACCCTTTTTGGTTTGCTTCGGTCCGAACAATGGGTAGAAATGCTCTGGCCTTTAGAACACGGGGCAGGTGTTAAGCCAAGGTTTTCCAGTGTCTTGATGAAAGGACCTTTTTTATGGGAGGCTTTTGAGTATGTGAGCAGGAGATCATACTTTGTACATACTAAAGCAAATCAGTGGAATTCGGGATAAATAACTGATACTGTTCCTTTACCTCTTAGATATCCAGGTTGCTACAAAAGGATGCAGAGCAGGAATCCCAAATGAGAGCTGAAATTCAGAACATGAAGCAAGAACTCTCAACCATTAGCATGATGGATGAGTTTGCCCGATATGCCCGTCTGGAAAGAAAGATTAACAAAATGACTGACAAGCTTAAAACTCATGGTAGGGTGCAATGTTTACTCCCTTTTCTAGTTTCTGAAAAACCTTTTGTGAAGAGTGTTTTTGATGTTAAGTGTGTTTCTCCTTCAGCTTTTTTCCTACCCCTCTTATCCATTTCCAATGTTCCTGTCTTTTTGTCTGTCTTTTTTCTTTTCCTTTAAACTTTTTGGAGGGCTTGCTTTTGTCTTTCAGTTGTGCATAGTTCTGCACACCCTGATAAGGGACGATGTAGATATAAAATTGTTCTTAGAAGGAATTTCCTGGGCTTTGCTGTGGAGCTATTTACTCTTTCTCGGTGATGCTCATCACTGAATTCATGTTTTTGAGGAAGTCGAGGAAGCCCTCTGCTGCGTACCTGCCCTGCAAAAGAACGCATTGCTCGGCTGGGGCTGTTTGGTCGGTGCCCTACGAAACGCTAGAGAGAAAGCGCTGATCCGTAAGGTGACCAGAGGGGAGCTGCCCTGTCATTTCGCAGTCCCGTTTGATCTTGCCCAGCAGCTTTTGCGGTAAAGCCGTAGTGCTTTGCCTCAGTGAGGGTTTTGTGGTAGCCCGGTCCGTCATCTCGTGGCAGAAGGTACACGTAAAACATTGGCACCGGAGATTTTGCTCTTGTCTTTGCCCAAACTCACTGACTGATCCTAACAGACAGGGGGCTGCTTGCTTCGCCTGCCTCCTCTGTGCAGGACGGATGGATGTTTATAGGCTCCTTGCTTGGAGAAAGGGCAATATTTACAACTGGCAGTTTTGGGTTGCTTTCAGTAGTATGATTCTTAACCCAGTAATTTCAATTCAACTAGATTCGAGTAGTTTACATAGCAACCAACAGCGTTGTTTTAGAAAACGAGGCCACCGTTATGTTTGGCAGTGTGCCGTCTTCACTGGCCTTCTTTATATTGGTCTGAGGCACTGCTGCAGCAGACAAACGGGCACGGGAAGCTTTAATACTGAACCAGACCAAGACTCGTTCAGTGAAGGAATAGTCTGCACTGGGTCCCTGAATGAAGTAAAGCAGAAAACGCATCTGCTAAAGGCTTTTAGGAAAGGGAAAAATTTACTTTAGGCTTCATCTAGAGCAGGTTCTTCAATTAGTAACCACAGTGACTGTTCTCATTTGGTTACAGTGTTCTGGGTTAGGTGTGACATTTGTCTGTCTGGGATATCAGTGTTCTGCAACCTTTCATAGTGGCATTAACAAGAAATTACAGTGGGATAGGGACCTAGCACTTTCTTGCAGGAGGGTACTTTCAATATAGCTATGAGTCATTTGGAAAGGGATTTTTAAACAGCGTGATGTCCTCATTTGAAGAGTGAAATATTAATAAATTACTAGTTTTATGTAAGTGTAATTCACTGTTATAAATAATGCAGAATAAATTTTTTTTTCTTTTAACAGTGAAAGCACGAACTGCCCAATTAGCCAAAATAAAGTGGGTTATAAATATTGTATTCTACATCCTACAAGTAAGTATTTGATTTTGAATACGAATTACTAAACCAACTCCTTAGTGGTGTTACAATTCTGTCCTGCATTTATTGGCTGATGATCAGCCACACAGGTGTTTGACATTCCAGTGACACAGTGCATGCCAAACCCAAAGAGTTTCTTGAAACGGAAGGGAGAGATGTTGCTGATAAGGTCTGGCAGTTGTGGATGGAAGGAGTTTCGAGTTTCATTTTAGCTCTGTGTTTCTGGTTTTGAGATGACAAGATAGGAGTTTGTCTTAGCTCTTTAATCACTGGTGTTTTTTCATTTATATATGGCACTGGACCCAGGAAAGTTCCGACGCATGCAAATGTGTTTTACTTACGTTTTTGAAAACAAAATATGCTTTTGCCGAGGATGCGAATCTCCACTTGCAGCTGCCACACATTTCCCCACAGTGCCTCCTCAGATTGTCTCTGTAGTTCAGACTTGATGCCAAAGAATTGTCTGCTAATTAGGATGAAAGTGGTCAGCCTGACGATGTCCTTAGGGTAATGTTAAAGAGAGTTGGATTCCTAGCAGGCAAGGATTATGGCTAAAAGTTTAACAATTACTGTTACTGTGTTTGTCTATGCTAGGTTGGAACCAGGGTCTCAAAGGAAAGCAGTGTTTTCCAAAGATTCGCTGCTACCTCTTAATACTGTGTATAAACTTCAGGTCATACTGAGTTTGAAAATATTTGAACTTGCTTAAGAACGATGTAAAGTAAGAAAGAAACTATTCCCTTTAATTAGGATCTGTTATATGCTGTTTCAAAATAGCAGTGGAAATGTACTTTGATGTGTATTATTATCCAAGCCAATAAAAATTTCAATTCTAGGCTGCCTTGATGATCTCTCTGATTTGGAAGTACTATTCTGAGCCAGTTACAGTGCTGCCAAGCAAATGGCTTGCTCCGCTGGAGCGCTTGGTAGCCTTTCCTACGGGGGTGGCAGGTAAGGACTGCACGCTGGAAAAAACACGTTTCCCGAGCCCATGCGGATGCTGACAGTGTGGTGACAAAGAGCATACGCAGATTAAAACCACTTTTTCTGTACGTTTCTTCTAACTCCCATAACACAGGGAGGAGTTTCAAACGTTTGATGAGCTGTGTCCTGTGTATTCAATTCTTGTTTATTTAACTGACAATGAAATGGGCTATTTGTCATTTTTATCTCTTCTCAAACAGAGCAGTTTTACCTTTATCTATATGGAATAGACCCTGGAGAAGATTTCAAATCAGAAATATTTTTATATTGAGTCCACTGAAATAATAGAATTGAGTTTAAAATTGGGCAAATACTTCATAGGTCTGTGTTGCTTACATGTGCTTCTTATAAATTGCTGGGGTTTCATAGTCGTGTACCTCCAGAGTGATTTAGGTATGCGTTCTCTTGGCGTTTTGTCTTGTCTGTTCCCACCCTTTTTCCTATCACGCTTCTGTTGCATTTTTACCTACTTAAATCCTTTTCTTTCGGTCAGTTTAACAAATTAATGACCAGAACGATATCGTAGGTTGTAGACATCTGTTTCTGAGGGAAAAGTGTACTGACTCTGTGCTTACGGGATAAGCAGACAGACAGAATGACAGGACAGTGTAGTGTGGAAATTCGTGTTCAAGCTAAAATGCTGCTGCTGGAACTTTTATATTAGGCTTGTAAGTCCTAACTGCCTTAGAAGGAATTCCAAAATATGCTGTTGGAACTGTATGTTGTTGTATCTTTAATAGCTGTTTAGGGAATGATTTGTATCCAGCATGCTTACTGGGCAAGAGAAGAGTCTGCTTCAGCACAGGGTAGGGGAATAGTCCTTGGAAGATATTTATTTAAATAGCATTTGAAGGGATTTTAAAAGGTTCACATCCATGTCTGCCTTCAAATCTCCTTTTATGTGTTGGCCGACAATCACAGTAAAGAGATTGCTTTTGAATTCTAGGTGATAAATACAAAAATGTGAAGAAACTACCTTTTTGGTAATTTTTAGACGTGCGTGCTATGAATAGCTATGTATTCCGTGATACTGCGTAGCGTGATTCCATGTAGCCTGCGATACGGATGTGCTGTGTGTTGCAGTCAGGGCACGCCCTCTGTCCCACCATACCAGTACAAATGTCTGTGCTGCTGGTGGGAATGCCAGGACCCTTTAACACAGCAGTGCAAGGCACCTGGGTCGGCAGCGAAGGTCTCTGTAGTGTTTTTCTATGGGGAGCAAGGGGAAAGGAGGCAAGTATGGGTTTAATACTTTTTAAAAGACTGATTTAAATTTCAGAGGAAAATTACTTTTTACCTCTCTCAAATCTTGAATTTGAGTTCTAGCAAAGTATTCTGCTACTTGCCAAGCCTTTAACTTCAGCAGTGTAGACACTTTTTGTTAGGTACATAGCAAACGTTTGTAGCTGTGGCTTGTGCATCCCACACTTTGGCTCATATTCATGATATTTGGTACTGTTTTCCCCAGAAGATCTTCCGGTTTTCTCAGGGCTGACAGGGAGTTAGCTGCCATCCCTTGAAGAGATGCTCTGTTCCTGTTCACCTCATAACTCTTTTAAGTTTCATTTTTTGCACTTCCAAAGTCTTTTTCAGATGCATGTGTGCTTCAGGATTGTTGATGCCGTGACTTAAATCGTGTTTTATATCTCTTTCAGGTGGTGTTGGAATTACATGTTGGCTTGTGGTTTGTAATAAAGTTGTAGCTATCATGCTACACCCATTCAGCTGAAGGAATCCCAGTAATCCATGGTCTCCTCGACTGCATTTTCACTGTCACTGTTTTAAATTAATAAAGCAAAAGAAGGAGCAGTTGTCTTTCGTGAGACTAGGTCTGAGATAATCTTTGTTCCTTTGTTTGGATATCAGTCAGCATTCTTTTTGATTTCTTTTATCTTTCTTCAGTTTGTTTTTCAGTTTGGTGGTCATTTTGTGTCTATTTCGACAAGTATGAACACTGATTCATGGCAGAACTGTCAGACTTTGTTATGGCATATATTAACCAAAATCTAAAAGTGTTGGATTTGTGGTTTTGAGTTGGAGATGCACTGGTACTAGGAGTTAATTTGGGAGCTTTGCTGTTTCTCTGCTGTATACTATGGTAGTTTCACCCAAAGGTGGGATTATATTTGGTGACAAGTGGTACTGCAGGATAGAGGGAGGCGGTTTGGGTAAAACAGGATTAGTTTCCTCCTTGTTATTTTTCACACTAGAATTGGTGTATTCTTGGGCTGAGGAAATGCATCATTGACACATACGCAGAATGAACTTTTTATCCCTTAAGAGACTCACTCAGTTGCCAAATACAGGATGGCTGGATACTTTTTCCTCCCTGACTTCTAAAATTCATTGAACGCTTGAATTTTGTCCTACTTTTATTAATAACTGACCTTTCCTTCTGTGACATTTTTTCTGCTTCCCAAACTGAGGGAGGATCACTGAAACTATTTCCTTCCATGTGTTGGGAGGAAAGGTCTGGCCAGCCTTCTCAAGCTCCATGTTAATAAAAGGAGAGTAGAAGACAGTGCTGTTCCTTCAGGGGACTACGTTTCTAAGGGGTTTAGCAGACATTAATGACAGTCCAGCATCGCCTGAAACAGCTACGTAAACATAAAAAGGCAGATGAGTGATTTAATGTCTAAAGCAGCAACAGAATGGTAGCAAGCAGGAGGAGGGAAAACAATTTTCTGTTTTGGAGTAAATCCTTCTTGCTGTGTCCAGGTACAGGACAGAGCCACAATATTTTGAATTTAAGAGGAGGACAGAATTCTTCCTAGTGCTGTGCCTGTAGAACAGTGACAAAGTTGCGTTACCTTCCACGCTACAGTGATCTGCAACTCTGCTGTTGCTGCCTCGTGAAACAAATGGGTGGGTTTATAGAGGTCTTGCTCCACACCTCCTTTTTTTTCTGACGTGAGCCTGAGCAAAGCTCTAGGGGACACCTTCCCCTCTGCTGCTGGGCTTTGGCAGTTCTGGTTCAGCTTCTGACTCTGTCCAGTGGAATGCATCTGGTATGTTATTTCAGGTCCTTTGCCTTCCTGCAGGAAGGAAGGGCCTAGGGCCCCTCCATAATTAGCACTGCATTTAGAAATCAGTTCAAAAGGTCATGATAAATTGTGTGTATATATGCATGAAATGTTTGTTGGGTTTTTTTAAATGTTAATTTAAAGAAAAAAAATTTGGTTTACATTAGGGATTACATTTAGCCAACATGAAATAGATGCATTAAGTATCCTCAAGAAAAAAATGTGATTGAATGTTACGTATAATTGTGGGTTTTATTAACGAAATAAAGCTTTTCAACCCATCTCAAGTTTTCTAATCAATTCAATGTTACAGTTTTCCTACAAAAAAAACAAACCAAACCAAAAAGCAACAACAAAAAAACCCTAAAACCAAACCCAAACCAACAATACCCTCCTCGTGTTCTTGCATAAGGAGATACTGTTGGAATCAACAGGACTAGTTTTTGTGGGGTTTTTTTTCTTTTAAAATATTCAGGGCAGATTATGTAACTGACAGTGACATATTTCTGAATCTAAAGATGTGGCGAATGATATTTCTACTTGGCTTGTTACGGAGTTTAACACAGTGAGGTCAAGAAAAGCAGCACCACTGAAAATCTTCACAAGGGCATTTGCTGTTTATCCACACTTAGCGTGGGGTCGTCAAAGACGCAGTTTGTCGGCGGCTCTAGTCAAACATCTGGGTGAGCCAGGGCGGGAAGGCTTTTGGTCGCCTGGTCAGTACAAACGGGAGTGCTGGGTTATGTGTGCTTGTTTGCGCTCAGCTTGGGGACAGCAGTAACGGCGCTGTAGAAGTATTAATAGTTCATAGAGGAGAAACACCTACTTTCCTGACTGCGCAAAGTCGTGCTTTGAAACCTGGCCACTGTATGGCTTAAGCGCTACTTCGAGGAAAACCTTCACATTTTTGAAAAGAAATGTGCTGCAAGGAGGTTCAGATCTAAATGTCTTAATCATCTTTAAAAGCTTCTGCAGTGTAATTTTTTGAAGTTTTGGCGTGGTTTGTTTTTTTTTTTTTTTAAGTGTCACCGCCTTTTAAAATTGATAGAATACACATAATTTTCCCTAACTTCATATAATTTTATCAAACGTTTCATGAATTACTATGAGGAACAAAACATAATCCTCCTACCCTTGCTTACATAACCTTAAACACAGGATTTTTAAAGGCTTTTTGAGAACTGGATATGCCTGACTTCTCCAAAACAATGGTTTACTCTTGCACATTCATCTTTGGATGTCAGCTGTGGAAGTTACCAGGCAAACGGCTTTGATAAATTCTAACAGTGGAAAAGAATGAAGCTTTAGAGATTTATAATGCTAGTGAAAACAATGTAATAGCAAATTATTTTTATTATGTGTGAATTCTGGAAGCTGTTTCAGGAGTGAAGAAGATAAAAAATTATTTTCTTTTATCGCATTGTTGGTATTAACCCAGTAATGAACCTTAGGAAAGCAGATTGCTCCCTTCAGCTAGCTCACGAATAATCAGCTTCAAAATTCAAAATGCAGAGAGAATGCAAAACCCCTGGAAATTACAAAACAAGGACTAACTTGGACACCTGATAACAGGTAAAAATGTTGTAATTGTTAAGGCACTCTTAGTAAGATGCACATGCACACACATGCACGCACACGGAACAAGAACAGAAGAATGTCCTTCTGTGACAACTGATTTGACTCGTTTTGGAAAATCATTGAAAGACATTCTCAGCACTTGTAAGATTTAGTATGCATTTAATGAAGGTAAAAACATTAGTTTTTTTAAAACAGTTTTAAATGATTCATACTTCTAGAGTAAAGATAAGTTGATGTACTTAACTAAATGTCGAATAAAAGAATTCGTGTATTCTCATGAGGTTGTTCGTAATGATTTCATTAGTGTTAGATGCCTTACATTATGAACTGGTAGTGGTGGTTTGAAATTTGGCTTGTGTAATCCTGCGTCCTTTCACTTTCTTCATTCCTCTCATGTCAGAACTTGAATGGTTGTCTCTTCAAACACAGCCTGGTCCAAAAGAGTTCTTTCATAAGACTTTTTCCTTTCAGCAAATGTCATATGAGCGCAGCCTTCCGCTTCAGCGGAACTGTCCTTCTGCCTTGTTTTGGTAACTTTACCGAAAGATGGTTCATATCGCCCAAAGGAATTTTGCACTTTTGATTCAGCTGTTCCACTGCAGCCCTGACCTGCATGTCTGTGGTTGCAAAGACTGCCTTTTTTTGATGCTGTGCCTGATGTAAGAAGGCCACGATGCAAATTCTCAGTGGCTTCTGAGAATATGTATTTCTTTTTCAGCCTAATGGATGTTTTGTTTCTTGGACCTGGAGTTACACATTTACTCCCTGCCTTCTCACTGTTATTTAGCTGTTCATCTGGCTTTTTCCCTTCTTCTTTTTCATATTCTTCCACAGCATCTTCCTCTCGATTGTTCTCTTTTACACTGCCACTCAGAGGAGTTTGTTCAGTTTTCATCAGTTTTTTCAGCTTCTGTTTAAGCAAATCTGTCTGGTTTTCTTCTTCCATAGATTCCAAACAAGTATATTCTTCTGTCAGTACTCTGTCCTCCCTTGAATACTCTAAAATGAAATATTGTGGGGTTTAGGAATGTTCTCAAATTGCCTAGGATCATAAAGAGTCATGAAGCATTAATGAGAGCAAGTTTCACTTCCTTATTTCATTGCTTAAGTTGTTTTTATTGATGGTATTTCAGTCTTGAGGGTTACGACAATGCTATTTACTAAGAAATATAACAGGGTAGGGCAAGATTTAAACAAGATCATTGTGCCATTGAATCCAGGTAAATGTTTTTACCTTTTTCATTTAATTTCATTAAATTTCATTTAATTTCATTTAATTTTATTAAATGAATTAGCATGCAAATGTAATCAGTAATGGCTAAATATAGGGCCAGAGAAACCACATGAGATCTGAACTCTAATTGTAATTTTCTTGCTTTTAAATGAAACTTAAATATTTTTATCATTTTTTTTTTCCCTTAATTGACGACACAGTTGCTTGTTGCATGGAGCAGAACATACTGCAACTCTCTAACGTCCAAGTGAGTTGGCTCCACTTGTTAGTAGAAAAAGGTATGTGTATACTGAATGCCTACAAGTAGATACCTTTCTCTGCTGCAGGGGACACATTGTAATAGGTTCTGTGCTTTGGAGAAACCCAAAGAGTACCTTCAAAATGAGATAGAGTCTGAGCTCAAAGGAGAAGTGTGAAGTTGCAATAACTAAAATAGCTAAAGAAGACTTCAATAAGTAAGTCTAATATCTTAGACAGTGGGAGAAAGCTGGAAGAGAGTCTGGCAAACAGTGAGGAGACAGACTCACAGTCAGAAGACCTGTGTTTTGTGTCAATTTTAAAAGGGAATGTCAAAGACAAATGGTGACTTAGGCTATCTGGTGGGGTCTGGAAGGCTGAAAAGGCTGAAAAGGCAGAGCACAAAACAGGGAGTTGATGCATTCCAGGTTACTGCTAGCTCTGTTACTGATCTAGTGAGTGACCTCAACAACCTGTTTCACATCTGTAAATGTGTGACCTTTAGGTCATTTAATGTCTCCTACCATTTGTGAAGTATTTAGCATGATGGCATGCAGATCTTGGTTCTTTCTACAAGCCTTACCGTGATGATAATAACATGAATATTTTTGGAAAGAAAAACTCAGATAAAGGAATAGATGCACTGGCTCCTTCTTTCTTCTGTTCTACAGAATTTCTTAAAAATAAAGGGGCTTGTAGATTAGTCCCTTGCTTGTAACTTTTATATGAGAACACAGCCAGTGGCTAAGATTTACATAAAATCTGTTTACAGTGATCATTGTAATGAGGAGACACTCCCAGCCCTTGAAGAAGTCCTTTTCCTTTCTCAGCAATAGATCCCGAGCCAGAAATACATGTTGACATCAGCCATGATGAAGATTCCCAACCAACAATTTGAGATCAGCATTTGGTTAGTGTGGAATTAACAAACCATTAACTAGAGTATGCTTTTACAGATAAAACACTGACTTTTTACCAACGTGATCAGGAACTGCTTTTTTATGAAGATGCCTTACACCGTGGGGCTGCTCTGCTCTCAGTGCGGCACCGCCAGCCACTGGATTTCAGTGATTCTTACTACACTATTTTGTTGAACTAGCTCCTGTCTGTCAGGTGCCAGCAAACGGCTGTCAGACCCATGTACATTACCAATAACACTGGTTCATTCAACTTTTGAAAAGATCAAATGTTAAAATGTTAAAATATACCTCCATGTGCTCTATTAAAATATTCAGGCTTTGGTATTTTCTTGGTTGATGGCTTTTCTGTTCTACATTGGATACCTGTGCATGTTTCATTTGCTTTAGCTTTTGGATTCTTATCTTCTGAAGACTTTTCTTCCTATAATTGGCAATTAAAGGTACAAATAATGAGGGAATACTTGTTCAGTGACTTTTGAAAGTACAGTCAGCGCAATACTTCTAAAAAGATTAGTAATTTCTAGTACTTTAGTAATTTCTATTACTTTTATATTCTTATTTTGTATCACAATGTTTGTCCTATATATTTTCTGTAATATAATTACATTCACACAAAATTCACATCCTAGAAAGTTAAGAGGATTGGTCAGGCTATTTAAGCATATTATTGACACTTACAGAATAACATACAGCTTAGCTGAGAGCTTAAACAGGGGATTGGATCCCGATCTTTCATACCTTTGTTAGCTGAACTGGACTTTTTTCTGTTTCCTGAGTTTGGTACTGTGACAGCAGCCATGATCTAAAACTCTGTTTATCTACTTGTACTGATCTGTTTATACTAAGACCTATTGAAAAAGGACAATTGTTAGTAATACAGTAGTTTCTGGAGTTACACTGTTGGTATAAACAAAAGATATCTTTGATGACTGATAATACTGGTATGTGGCCTAGGATTTAAACATTTTTTTGCTGCATGTCTTAGTGCCCTTTAATAAAGAAATTCTTTGTTCTTCCTGATCTATAAATGCTGAAACTGGAACACAAACATGTCTACCTGGACTTTTGAGCAGTTTCATCCATACATCGTAAATATACTCTAAGTTTTAGGTCTGCAAAGTCCTGTTCAGATAGAATATGCAAAGTCAGACAAATGTGTCTATACCCTAGAGCCCATGTGGGCTTAATTTGTGCAGTAACATTCCAATGTAAATTTAAGAGGTCTGGTATGAGGCCTCAGCATTCAGGTTCCTAAATTTGGATCTCACAGAGTGTAATAAACATGCTGCTTTTATGCCTCCTGACTTGGTTACTCAACTTTCTCAAAGTTAAGCACTTACGTAAGGCTTTATGGAACCAAACTCTAAGGAGGAAATGCTTAACACTGTTTGAAGTATCTGTGGTCTTCGAAAAGAGATTCCAAGGGAGTGATTGAATGAGACATTTAAATAGCTGGGAGATGAGATGGGGAAGGGGAGTATATTGTTCTTTTATTGTATTTTTAGGATGATTTTGACATGAGTACAGTACCTGAGAAAGTTGCTAACACAGCAGCAAAAATGTGATCTTGCCTACGTCAACTTTCGACCTTATTCCCAGTATTGATCTCTGAAATCAGAGGAGGACTCTCCATAAAAGTGGTGATTTTAAAATGTTTACAGTTCGGTGGTAAAAAGGATGTTGGTAACCAATTTGAGGATTACCATTGAAGGAATGGGTCTGATGATGCGGAGGGAATTATTTTTCCCTTTTGCAAGGCAACCAGCAGCTTTTTCAGCAGGGTTCAGTGAAGTGTTCCCCAGAGTCAGAACTAGGGGGAGCTGTACCTCTAGATGAGCTGGTGTGACCTTCCCACAACAGAGCAAACTTTGCTCTCATGAAGATCTTATGAAATTAATGACTTCATTCAGTAAGTCAATTTTATTTATGTACACAGAGCTTTCTGATAACCTAGGCAAGTCTACCTTCAGCCATTTATCAGGAGTGTTAAAAAATGCAGCCCCACTTTTTTTTTTTTTCTCTTTCCTACTGGGTAAAAATTTTTGCAGGCGCAGAATAGAAAATAACTACTTGAAGAAGCAGCTCTTTCTAAGTCTGCTATGGGAAAATCCAAATCAATAGTGAAAAGGAAAAACAATTGCCAGTAATTCCAGTTCTAGATTTCTAAATTATCTGTTTCCATTAACTGACAGAGAATGAAAACTTTATTGGGCAAAAATACCAAAAATCAGACAACTTTGCTTGGAACCTTTTCATTACAAAGTACCAGGTCTCTCCCCAACTAAGGTCCCTTGTCTTGCTTAAAGAAAAGAACAACTGAAATAGTAAACAGTGGTTTAAGTACTGTAATTTAAATAACAATACTGTGTAAGTGCATATGCAAGTAAAATAAAAAAACCTCAAACAACACAAGTGGTTATGTGACATAACTAAAACTGGAATTCAGAGCTTCACAAAAAAACGTGCCTGACTTGGAATGAGAAGAAGGAATTTGTGTTTTTTAATTTTACAGCTTGAATTACCGACCTTTTCCTATAGTTCACTTGCAGTTAAGGCAGAGTAATGGACTTGCAAAGGCAACAAAGAGGAAAGAAATAAGCAACTGACTCCAGTAAGACTTTGTACTGATACCATAATTTGAACAATTCAGTGGGCATGTGCATTATTTCCAACAGATATGTTTACTACTATGTAAATTTTAAGTGCTTATTTGTACCCATATGAAGAAAGTTCTAATTCTTCCTTCAGTTCAGGAGCAGGAATATCTGACTAGTATTTTAAAGAGGTGCTTAACCCAGGAAAGTCAATTTTCAGATCATTATCCAAAATTAAGAGTGTAAGTTTGTTGTGCAAAAAGCTTTTCTTTAGGGTATTGACAGGACATACATGATCCTGAGTAGGAGGCAAAATACTACATTCAATGTGGGGAAAGTACATGAAATCTGTTTATTAGTTTCTGTATAAAACACATTTATTAGTAAATTCTAGCTACTACATCTAAAGCATATGACAATTAGAAACTTATAAGTGCTTCAGGAAAACTCTCCCCTTCAACATTTTTGTCCCTGATGAACATAGTGAGGACACGAGCAACACAACCGTTCTTAGCTTGTATGATTTGTAATTGTTTTTTAGCTGTTGCTCCCTCAGACCAAGGGGTGGGATCCACTTGTCTGAACACTGGCGCCTCATGCTATTTGAGATGCCCTCGAGTATTCAAGGTATCCACATAAGGCTGGCTGATATTACACAGGACCGGTGGGACACCCGTCTCCTCAAACAACAGCTACAGGGCCAGGCAGAATGTGCTAGGACATCTCCAATGGCACTGGATGCCTATAATTAGGCAGTTGAATCCCACACAAGGTAGCTGCTCTTGGAAAGCTCGCTAGATGAGACTGCATACAACAGATATTTCTCTCCAATACCTGTGTGAGCATCCATGTGAAAGAAACACTCATTAGTAAAGAGCTCTTTCTTCCTTGATAGAATTAACATTCTATTGTTCTTTTGTGTCACTCTACTATATTACTCTAAATAACATCAATTCTGTGGATAGACTTGAGAGAATACACAAGAACTGGGTTATTACGATCATTGGTTGCTCATTTAGATTTACTTACACTAAAAACCAAAGGACTACTATGGATAAACATTCTCTTCTCTCAGATAAGCTGACAGTATGATCATCAGACTGGCCTTTAAACTTCCTAAACCTTGTATCTGAAAACTCCTCCTTTCCTTCCATCCCAACAAAATGCAAAGAGCTGCAATGATGGACATTGAAGTATTGCCGCTAATTTTAAGTTACGGGGTCTAAGGATTTTAAAGATGAGAAATCAGCTTTTAAAGACCCAGTTCAATTCATTGGTTTTTGCCCGTATAAAATCACTTTGAAAGTCTGTATTAAAGCTAGAAACTTGCTACAGGAGGGTTGTTTGTGAGGTGCTTTGAGTTGGTGAGCCATGTTGTGGGAATTCTAGGTCTAGGATGGCCACTTCTCCAGGCCAAGTCAAAGAGAACAGCCTGGACAAAAATTACTCTGCAAAAGCTTTGTGGACTGATAGCTTCACCTTGCTGAAAAACAAATAAGCAAGTGGATCTTGAGGCGCATAGACTCTTAAAATAGCAGCACTACTTCAGTGTCACTGTTACTATACTAAAACTATGTATGCTAAACGCTATTCATGATGAAAATTGGGTTAAATATTAAAAATGGGTCATGTACTTGTGTCCATGAAATAAGTGAGCAAAAAACGAAGCACTTCTCTTTAAATTACATGTGACAGAATATTTTTAGCCCATATAAAAGTACTATATTGGCTTTGATTTTAGAATATACATTCCAGTTATAAACCAATGTAAGTTTCACAAACTAAACAGAAAATGAAGATGAATATATACATACTTTTTTCATGAAGTACTGAATCACTTTTGTCTTTTAGGATTTTAGGCATCCGATTTGCATAGATATTTTTTACATAAAGTTGACGATCCTTTTCCTAGGAAGAAATAAACACTATTAAACTCTAATATGCATTAAGAATTACTTTTTACCCACTTAATTTTCCCATGCTGGGAGAAAACTGTCAGTGACTTTGCTTTGTGCCTGGCCATGTGGTGACTTTGTGATTTACATAAATAGGAATCTGTCATTTTCTTTCATGAGCCAAATCAAAATTCTCCCTTTTTAAGGCTAAGAGCACATCTGTACGCCTACGTGATCTTTTTCATAACACAGTGTCTTGATTAAGTCTTCTCTAATGATTTTTTCTCTTGTTGCTCAGAGTAATTTTTTCAGACTAAATAATTTTTGGCTTTACTGTCTTCTTTTAAATTTATTAACTCAGTGCCCTTGGTTGTAATGTGCTCAGTTCTGTTTTACAACCTATTGCTTGGGACATGACATAAACTTCAGAGGCACACTTTTTAAAATTTATTTAGCAAGAGTCCTCTTTCCTTCCTGAAATCTATCTCAAACACAGAAGAGAGATTTCAGTAACACTCTCACCATGTCAGTTTTTAGTGTGAAAAATAAGAGCTGCATTCACTTGGGCTACACAGGTTGTCCTGAAAGCGTGTCTGAATACCTTGAATGGTCTGAATTTGCCAGGTGCCCAAAACTGTGAATGTGTAAGAATAAACTCTGTTCTGGCACAGAAGTAAGGTTAATAAACATGTCTGGTCTTCTTTGCGGTAAAACAGTAGAAGGTTTTGTAAATCTAAATATGACAGTAAGAGAACTGGACGCACATAGAAAACCATGTGGAAACCACATGAAATAGAAATATTTTAGAGAAGTGTTAAGGTGAGAACTGTATTTTAGAATTATTTGCATTTTGGAACAGTTTTACGTTGGTGTTCCTGGGACTATAATGATTCCCGTCTCCCAGATCCGTACAGACAGGAGATCAGACTCTGGCAGGGAAATTGCACTGCAAGCGCCGTCTGGGGGACTTTGATACAGGGCCCACTGAGCGCCCTCTTCTTTTTTCCTTTCCCAGCCGCTCTCTGGGCTTCTGCAGCTGGGCAGCCTGGCTGCTGCCAAGTATCAGAAGGGAGGTTTCTGCACCTGATACATAGGTAAGAGGGACCAACACTGCCACTGTACAGAAACGCAAATCTCCATGAATCCTTGGGAGTTGCCTGTTCTGCCCTTCACAATGTCTGGGAAAACTCCCCATAACAAGACCTTTCACAGACATTTTATTCCATTTAGAAAGAGAAAGCTCCCTAGTAGGGATCAACAGATGGATCAGGTCACTTTACCTAGAAATAGAAAACACAGTTTAAATTGTTAAAAAGCCGTAAGGGTTTTCATGTTTTCTGGAATATGTACTGTGTTTCTTGTTTACAACTCATATGACATAGCATTTACGGCAGGTTTTTTTTCTATTTCTATTTAGTGTCACTTTTAGGTTTTCCTATATATTTGGTTTACAAGCATTACAGTAAGTGTTGAACTGGACATATTTTTCCCCAAAATATTTCTCTAAAAACCAAGCTGGAATTTAAACAAACTATTGAAACATCTACGACAGTCTTTTTGTTAAACTCTAGCTTTGCAGATTGTAATATTTGGCTCATTTTGATTTGAAAGTGTTTCTGTAAGGGAGCTCATTTAAAGTTTGTAGATTAATATATTGACCTAGATCTATCAAAGTGTTAACAAGTTGGTGTGGATTATTTGTTCAAATTGTGATGCATCAATCCCTGTTTTGATTAATTATTGAACTACTTTGAATTTTTGACAAATAGATCCTACAATAATTTAATCATTTGATATTTTGACTTCTCTTGGTTGACTATAGACTCAACTAGGAAACAAAAATTCCATTACTAAATAAAATAAAAGAGGCAAAAGGAATAGGTAACATTAAATACTTGAATTTTCTTGTAGGAACAGAAAACCATTTAAAATATTGATTACCTTGATTTTTTGGTGAAGACAGTTAATTTCCATTTGCAAGGTCTTTTTAATTATCCCAGCTTCCACAGCTTTTTTGTTCTCATTTGCCAGCTGGCGACTAAAGGTGCTATTGTTCAACTTCAGCTGCTTTTCTAGGCTCTAAAAAAAATTATTTATTTTACCATATGGATGTACTCAGTATGACTGTTGAAAAATTTCAGTTCTTGACAGATTTAAAAAATAAGCATGCTAATATAATGAAAAGAAAGCTTCTAATGATTATATTCTATTGTAAACAATGCATGAAATTATGATGAAGTATCTGAAAAATTACTTTAAAAATCAGCAATAACTGGTTTAAAACCTAATTTTACTGTTTTAAAAAAAGTATATTTGGCATTCAAACATAAAAAATAAGGCTGTACATTACCTTGCTGATGGATTAATGAATACAATCATCTTTGAGAAATGTTAAGACAACATTTCTGTTCACACTGAGACCTATTAACTGCGGCAGCATAAGGAGGCTTAGCATAAATGAAAACTAGGTAATTTACTGAGCACTTTAATAAGTACTTTATCATCAGAACTCAGTGCCATGCACTGAAATTATAGTTACTAAAGCTGTAAGGTGGACACCCAACCCCGCATGCTTTTTATAGCTTCTCACTAGGACTTCTGTAAATAGAAAGTTTTCAAAAGAGTGTCTGAATTCAGCTGTTTATATTTTCATTTTCTTTCATGTAACAAATGTACTTCAGACCTAGCTGTTCAGGTGATGAAACGCCTCTATGATTACCTGGCTCTCTATTTAATTGTAGCATAATATACCCCATAGAAAATAGAAATTAATTCCTGGAGGACAATGGAAATTTCAGTCTTCCAGTTGTTTTGTATTAAAAACCATATTCCTGTCTTTTTGTGAAAGGTTCAATAAGAGCGAAGAAGCATGAGATATTAAGAGGAGCTGAATTATCTCCTCTTAAACTCCCAACAGGCTTTTACTAAGTTGCACAATAAACCAACAGCAGAACCAACCCTAAAATCTGGGACACCTGACTACTGCTTAATTCAGCAGCCGCCCTACGGCCAACCACAGTGAGCGGCAGTAATTAGTGAATGGGAGGTGTAGGTATGTCCGTGCTGCCCACCGGCACCACGTAAAAATAACAGTGCTAGTTCCAGATAAGCCAGATTTGGTTGTTCAAGGAAGTAGACCAGCAGGAGCCTGGCGGTCTCCATGTGTGGCTAATCCTGTGCTTTGCCAAGGTAAATTAGGGTCCATGTTACGGTGGCTAGACGGCCCAAGCAAGCCTGGGGACCCTGTGCTGCTGGCAGGGAGCAGAGCAGACACTCTGCTGAAGATGGCTCTCCAGCCATATGCTGCGCTTCTGACCTAACATAAGGGTTAAGGCATACGACTTAATTCCTAAAAGATCTTTATTGCCAAACCTAATCTACTCATACATTTCTGTCAGATTTTAAAATACTGGAAGGGTGTACTACTGCCATATTTAGCACCTTACACTCAGGACAGCACTGGATTAAAAAGAGTGTTCGATGTTACAGGATTGCATCAGAATCATTAATGTGACAAGACACAGATAAAACCTTTCCACTGTTCTTGCACAGAAACCTCTCCTATTACTGTTCCACAAATACAATGATGTGCACACATTACCTGTATTCTCTTATCATTCACTGCCATTTTTTCTGTAAGAGCTGATAATCTGTGATCAAGTTCCTCTTTCTTTGCAAGCGCTTTGTCTTCTGAAAGCATGTGCAAGGTCTGCAAAGCATCTTTAGCTTTTAGTAGCTCTGCTTCAACTTCTCTGAGCTTCCTGGATGTATTTCTCTCATCCTTCTGAGACATCCTCACCAGTTTCCTTAAAGTTCTCACCTCATTACAATGACTTGCTAAAAGATCTGGCAAGTTACGTTTTGGATTTTCATATCTACTTATTGCTTTCGAGTGTTGACACTGAAGCTGTTTCAAAACATGGTTTTCTAAGCTTGCTGCTTCTAATTTCTGCTGTAAATCAAATATTTCATTCTTCAGCTCTTTAATTTTGTGAAGTTTTGCTGATGATATTTGCTGAGCCACTGCATTTTTTTTCTGGGAAATCATACTACTCTGCAGGCTTAAAAATGAAGAATTCTGATGTGGTATCTTCTCATCTGGCAATTTTTTTTCCCCCTGCATTAAGACCAAAGTAAACTGGCATTGATATGTAGCAATTATTTGAGACAGCAAAACCACTGCATGTCTTTACTGCTCATCCAAGCTATTTAACTGTGGTATATTTGACAAAATGCCTAAGATCCATACTAAGCCTCCAATGTTCAGGTATTTCACAGATAAATCCATTAAAGATTTTATATCTCTGTGTGTGCATTTGTGTGGCTGCACTGGGCCACAGCTAATTAGGTCTACAGAAGGTCAAGGTTCCCTCCTTTCTTTCATTCTCTGAAGCCATTTTCAGTCAAAACACCCATCATGCTCACTTCCCATTAATAAGGGTAACTACACAAGTGGTGTCTTCTGAGGCAAACAGCAATAATACTTTGGGAATAACCTAGTAAAGTATGTTTATGTTAACACATTACTCCAGTATAAATGGAAATAAATTTTCTCTCTGTAAATCCTGCAGTTCACTGATGTAGGTGTGATCTGGGGCCTGATGAATCAAATTCAGCCCATCTAGAAAGATTCTCAAGAGGGAGGACCTACACCTTGAATAGGGGCGTGACAGAAAAAAACCCAACATAGTAATCTACAGGTCTGCAAGAACTCAAAAAACAAGGTGATCACAATAGCACATGGCTAAATTTCTCTGCACCTAGGATTTCTAACCAGCTTTCTAGAATTTTCAAGCCAGTTTGAATTGAACTACATTTTTAAACTTTACATGTTTATTAGTACAGAACAGTTACGCAGTTGTGTACAATGTTTCTATACAGCAACTGAAAAAAATTACAGGCTAGCATTCCAAGTGTATCACTGACATCTGCCTTTCTTTACAGCCAGCATTCTGAGTGAATTGCTCTCTTTTTCATTTCCTGAAACGTAATTAGAATTTGAAAACAGTCAAGACTGTAAATCTGAGTTTTTCAGACGTATATTCAATTTCACTGTAGCTCTCAAGACACTTCAGGCAGCATTTTGCTAGACGTTTATTATAATAATTTATAGATCGTATCATATTTTACGGATAAAATAGGCGAGGTCCTAACCTAAAAAACACCAGAGGAAAAGGACAGATCTTTTCAAGCACTTCCGTTCAATCCAATAGGTGTTCCGCACAGAACCTCTTCACAGGACAGGCCCCAACCAGAACAGCCCACTGCAGATGGGAAGCAACATTGAATCAGTGGTAGGAAAAGTGAAGCAGGACACTGCCTAGGGCACCACCACGCCACGGCCTTGCTGCTTCCATGACCTAAGCCAGAGTAGTGAAAAGCTGCATAAAGGGTGCTATCTAGGAAGACAGAGATTCACGGGGCAGTGGCTTTAGCGGGGAAAGGGCTCTTCCCTGCAGCAGCAGCACCTACTGCTTTGTCTCTCCTTCCCTGCCGGCAGCAGCCCCGCCAGCCTTCCTGTTCTCCACAGCTTCAGCCCCGCAGCCGGGCCTGGAGTCGGGCCTGGGCCTGACAGGCACCTGCCTGGAGCGCGAGGCAGCAAGTTAAAGGGGAGTTTGAAGGGGGTCAGTTACACAGCTCTGTCTGTCCTTTGCTCTTATTCCTGAAATACCCGATCCACTCCACTGTTTCAGGACACAAGCCGGGTGGTCTTTGTTCTGATGGCCCTGCTGATAGAGGAGAGAAAGCTGCAGCAAGCTGGTAGGACCTCGCTCACACAGAGCTGCACGGGGAGAACAGGCTATTGAATTCAATGTGACAGCAAAAGGAAAGGAAAGAAAGAATCTGAGATGAGGAATCAAAAGGAGAAGAGACTGTGATTTGGGCAGGGCAGTTATGTTTTAAAATACATTTTAAATGCATTAAGAATGTCTATCATGAAAGTTTAAACAAATTGTAGCAGTCAGTTGAGGTCAGACACATTCAAGACCTTCTACGGTGAGAAAAATTAACAGGTGCTGCAAAAAAACCTCACCGGAGGTAAAAAACAAAGCAAATGGGAGGTACGCAAGCGTCACACGTGCATATTGTCTGTAATTATGATTCCACTGCAGGAAGACTACAGTACGACAAAAGTGTTGTCACACAAATATTTGCAAAATGAGCACAACCATTACATTACTCTTTTATTTTTCCAGAATGGAATTAGAGAACGTAAAAGAAATGGGAAAATACCATCCTGCAACAGCTGACAAAATACTGTAAAATCTATACATGTCTATACAGGGTGAAAATACATTTTATAATTGTGTTCCTGGGAAACTGATCATTTCAAGAAGCCACAAGCAAGTAAAAATAACCACTTCAAATATCCAATACAGCTAGTAGCCAATAATGATTCTTTTGCTAAATAGATTTTTAAAATGCGGTTATTCTTTTGGTCTGCTAGTTTCATGACTTCTTGACAGCAGCGTGTAACATATGATGGAAGAGACAATCAGTGGTTCCTCTCTCTTTTTTTTAGTTGATATGTATCTTGTAGATTTGGAAGATCTAGAAGAAATTTTGAAGCTCA